CACTGTATACACAGTCACAGGTTAACTGTCCATCAGTATGATGGCCCTGCTGCCAACACATACAGTATGTCCTTAGCCTCGTCTCCTCCACACACAGTGCCGTCTGCTGCCACTGTCTCCCAATTTTTGTTTCAGTGAAAAGCAAAGACATTCCAAACTTCTGATGCCAAAAACAAAAAATAAACAGAAGAGAGATTTGAACTGATGTGTAAGAATCACTCACTGAATTGTGCTTCTTCCACTTGCTGCCTGTGAAAAATGTTCAGAGTGTTGAGAAAGAAATTAGCACCTGACAGCCTGCCAAAAGCGGTTACAAGCTGACTGTGACAGCCAATTTTGTTAAAGCTACAGCACTGTAGCATAGCAGGTGTGAGACACATAGCAAACAGAAAAACATGCCTGTAGCCCTTGCACGTTGCATAACATTGTCCAAACAGTGTAGGTTTGTTTAACAGCCCAACTGCACAACCTTGACACTTATCATTACTACAGCCACTACAGACCCAGTGGTAGGTTCGTCGCTGATACACGTCCATGGTCAAGAAATGTTTGATATGTACTGAAATGTTGTTTAAAATTCTGTACAACACCCCAAAAGTTTCCAATAACAGCAGACTGTGTTTAACATGATCCACCAGAAATCTTTAAATTAGCTACAATTAAAGTTCATCTATAACACCCCCCCATATGACACTCTGCTGCCTACAGCCCTTCTGTTGTTATTCCTGCTTCTCTACCCCGTGTTTAGATCCGGACATTAGACCTGCCTGGGTTGTGTTGAATTAACATGATTTTAATTTAGGAGAAATTCAAGCTTTGTGTGACATTAACACTTTGCTAGCCATGTTCGGGACTGTCTCGGCAGCCTTCTCACTTGACAGTGAGCCAGGACTCGTTAGTCAGCTAACAGCAGCTTCGGACTGGTGGCTGTGTTTTGTATAGTTTGTCCCAACCAGGCATCCATAATTTATGTTGCTGCTAGGAATCAAGACATCAGGTTGTTTTGTGTCTCACTAGACCCACTGGGGGCTGAAAATAAATTAGTAAATACCTTTAATGCTCCACAAAATTATGGTAGTTTGGTCTAAATAACAATAATTTTGTAGCATTGATATGAAGAGATGAACTCTACGTTCTAACCTGATATGAAGAGATGAACTCTACGTTCTGGCAACCAGTGTAACTAGGTTCTGAGACACCACAGTAACAAGGTTAATAGGAGTTTGACTCGGGGTAGATCCAAGCAGTGGGACACCAACCAGCTGACTGTGACTGTCAGGCATGAGCAGGAGTTGGAAGCCTATTACTAAAAGAAAGGACTGCATGAACAAACAGCTCAGTCGAGTCTTATCCACTGGAAACATTTTTTAGGGGTTACAGGTAATGCTGTTTGCTGCAAAGTAGTCCCTGTCCCTACTGGTACAATATTTGGTGTCACCTGATGATGTCAAATAACCACAATAATGTGTGGAAGGACCTAAGAAAAAATCAAAACTCCAAAAAATGATGTTTCCTGACTTAAGTCTTTAGGGAGAGAAACACAGAACGACTGATGTGTCTTTAAATACCTGCTCAGATGTATTTGTTTTTACAACGCTTGCATTCTTGCTCACAATTTCCTAACATATCTATAAAAATGACAGAATCGTGACAGCGACCTTGAGACGTCAGAGCCTCGTGCTGTGTGCGCGTCTTTTTTTGGAGGTGTGTCGAGGAGGTCTTGGCAAAAGAAATGGGACGTCACAGAAATGGAGATTGAATAAAGAGCAGGTGACAGTCGACAAGGAGCGGAGGAGGGTGCAGGGTCTGAAGAAGAACTGCCACCAGGAGGAGGGGAGGGGGAGTGAGAAGATGAGAGGAGGGTGAGAATGGAGGACGACAGAGAGGTGGGAGAATGGATGCAGAGTGAAAATTAACTGCGTCTATTTAAACACACAAAGAGAAGGTAGAGAGATTACAATCTAACACAGAGCCAGATATATGAGACACCTGTACAACCTAAGATGCAGTGTACAACATTTATTAGCAGAAACGGGCTATAATATGCATAATTATGTTTTCATTAATGTGTAATCACCAGAAAATAAGAATTGTTGTTTTTTTAGATTAGAATGAGCCTTTTCCATCTACATAGGAGCCAGAATGGACAAACCGTACGCTGGCTCTAGAGCGTGATATTCACGTTTTCACGTTGAAGTAGCAGATTGGATTTGATGATGCTTGGAAGACCAAGAAGAAGTAACAAAGAGACAAGACAAAGCATTGTTGTGAGTTTAAGAACTATAATTTGAAGAAATAGAGGATCATGGTTAAACTTTAACACAAGAAAAAGGTAGACAGCGTAAATCCCCATTGTCAAAGACACGAAGACACAAGATAATCAATGACACAAGATGAGGATAAACACTGGTGCGGCCTTTCTCAGATGGGAATCCTTGAAGAGGGACAACATGTCTTTATAATGTCCCCGAACTTGCCTGGTTTCTGTTGGACAGTGACGCTTTAGCTAGAACACAGCCAGTGCCGGGTAACCCACTGTGGTCAAGTGTGCCGCTGTTAGCTTTAGCTTGTTCAAGTCAGCCACACTTGTTTTACGAGTGGCCACTTGTCCTACACTTACAAAAATCACTGTGAAACAGCTGTGAGGGCTGTTTAACACGATGTATGAGAGCGTTGCAATCTGCAACCTCACCACTAGGTGTCACTAAATCTCACACACTGCATCTTTGATGCAATAAAAAAAAAAAACAGTTCTGCAGTTTTTGGAAGGCTACAATGCTTAAAGTTATGTCTGGATATATGCAAATTTCTGTTTGAAATAAATTGACATTTTAACCTCTTTAAAGGAATATTTCAAAATTTTAAAGAATGTGCTTTTTAAAATTGTTGCAGAGTTCGATACCGCTGTCTTACCCCCATCCAGTTAGGTTAGCGTCTGTGTTGTTTTTGACAGAGCCAGGCTAGCTGTTTCTAGTATTTTCACCACGCTATGCTAGCTGGCTGCCTGGCTTCAGCTTCATGTAAGAGAATGGTATTGGCCTTCTTATGTACTGTACCTCTCCACCAGAAATAGGCAAGATGTCAAAGAGTTTAAGTACATAAGAGGATAGGAACAATCTGTTAACTGTGTGTCTTTACAGCCCCAAACAAATAGCAAGCACAATAAAGACAATATGGTGACAGCGTGGTTAGTGTTCATCCTATCTACTGTATGCCAAGTTTTTCACTGTATGTCGTATCCATTAAAACTTTTTATTGAATGAGATGTCCTGAACCCTTTGTCTCTAAAACACATGCTACACGAATGGAAATGTTCACATCTAGATGTGTACCTGAAACATAGCCAATTTATTGGGCCTCCCAGATGCTCCATTTTCTAACTCCTACTCTATAAGCACCTGTAGGAGAAGGCTTCAGGATTTTCTCCTTGAAAACATGTTTTTTGTCTGTCAATAAAATAAGTGCTTTTCCTTGTTGAGTCTGGAGAGGACTCAGAGTAGGAGGATTTGCTCTCACAGCCAGTTTTGTACTGCTGCACTTCAAGCACAAGTGTGTACGAGCTTGTCCTTGAACAAAAGAGTAGTTTACAGAATCTGTTACAGACCCAGGGCAGTGCAGTGTTTTCTGACAGGATCAGCTCAAAAATGCTTCATATTCTTCACATCTGGAAATTAGGACTTTAATAAAGATTTGAGGCTTGTACACAGCACGTATGCAGAACAGTACACCATACAAGACATGGACAAGCAACATATTCATAGACACATGCCACTGCACACAGTGAAAAAACTGAACGGTCATAAGAAAAGACGACTACTGCAGATAGTTAAAAAGCTTTGTTTTCAGTTCCAGTAATGGTAAACAATGTCACATCACTATCAAAAGCGCCAAAAAGCTCTGACTTGAGCTGAACAGACATCAGGCATATCAATAACAACACTACAGACTGAGAGGCTTCAGACACTATTCGGCACAACGCAGAGATTTTGACCTGATTTAGCATCAGTCCGGCAGCGCTCCACAGACGTTTCATGTCTTGTGTCAGTGTTTTGAAATGTTTTAACACACCCCTTAAAACCTTTATAAAAATAAATAAATAAATGAAACCATCACCCGGGAATTCACAGAAACACTGATGCTTAATTAGTTCAAAATATCTTGCGGTGTGAATTTTTCATCAAGATAGTAAAAGTTGAGGATTTATTTACATGGGTACAAAAACCCTGACAGGCACTTTCCACTAAGGATCCACATGTATGCTAATGAGAGCCAGTGTTTTACAAATTCAGTAGGAAATGAACAGTCTATTTAACATCGTGTCTCATACAACAGTTGAGAATAATCATTCAAGTGGTTTTTGGAGTACAAACATGGTCACAGATGGGTTTTCAGAAACAAACTGGTCGCACCGAGGCGTGTTACAAACTTACAGTACGACGAGTTGGAGGTTTGCAGGTTGGTAATTTATCACACCTCATTACTGAGCGGCTGCATGTATAAAACAGTCAGCATCTAAGAATGTTACACTTACCGAGTGCATTATGAAAACATGAAACTAATAAGTGTGTTTGAAGGTTGTATTCAAGACAAAAAAAGGGTGCAGCAAGGGTTATGAGACAAGTTTGGTTGGTTACATCTCATTGGTTTTCTACATTTGCACAGAATGAGACAAACAGGGCAAAGGCTTGTCAAGAATTGCACATGCATCTACATAAATAAATAAATAAATAGATAAATAAATATTTTGCTACAAGGGGTAATTTCCTTATCTTGTTTTAGATTGGTTCGGTAACCTTGTTCAGAGCCTCCGACCTCCATAGATAAACACAAAGACAGCCACCAGTGAACAACTGTCCTCTTTTGTGAAATTTGTGAGCAACACATTGCAGTGGCAAGACATCACAAGTATGTGAATACATCATGCAGAGGTGAAAACAACAGAGCATCACTTGTTAAATCTGCCTGATCCATCTTTCCTCCCCTGTTCTCACTCTTTCATTTGTCCCTCCATGCTGCCATCTACTACTTAATATTCCCTCCACTTTCTCCAACATTTTTCACCACCTTACCTTGACTCCTAACTCTAAAGCTGTCACAGCCCTTAATTATCTCCACTCCAACCCTACTGCATTCATAGAGGGATTTCAGTTGGCTTCATCCAACTCCTGGCAGCCATACTGCAGGTCAGCAGCTCTCAGGCTTCAGCAGCTGCAAACAGCTCACTGAATTTGTTACATCATCACTGTCTCTCAACAGTATAAAACAGAGATAATTTCACAACATCTCCACGTCTGAAAAGTTTAAAGTCAAACTTTTTTGGGCAATAGGTATATTTGCTTATTGAGAGTTAGACGAGAAGATAGATACCAATCACATGTATGTATGCTAATTATGACGCTACCAATAGCAACCAGCTAAGTTAGCTTAGCATAAAGATAGAAACGAGGAAAGGTAACAAATTTCAGCTACCAGTTGTTTTTTTTTGTTTTTTTTTCTTGGTGAAGATTAGACAACTGAAATATATCTTAATCAGTGAACTTTAAAGGTGCTGATAGACAGATCTTGTAATTTCCCCTTATTTTCAGTTATCAGGCTGCTAGTTCCTTATTTAATGCACAGACATGGGGGAAATATTCCTTTTTTTATCTATCTCTTGCTAAGAAAGCTAATCAGTGTGTTTCCCAAAATGTTAAAATATTAGGTCCTTAAGGGTTAGCTAACGGCAGCTTCTAAGCTAGCTAACTATACAGCAGTAACTTTGGTCAACTAACCTAAGTATTCCAATGCTAACATATCTGCTCGCTAGTTAGCAACTTTTGCGCAGTTGCTAACAATGCCTAGAAAGTAGGAAGACCACTGACGAGATCATTTAGGGTAGCCTGAATCTGGAGACAAATATATTTTGCAATGTTTCAGTCAATCAGTAGTTTGGTAACCTAAGTGCAAATCCCCAACTCATATAAATACACCATTAGTTTTCTGTTCTTAAAAACATCCTGTCGTAATGTTAAAGCTGGGCAGATGGAAACCTACCTTCCTGAAATGGCTACAACTTTCCTTCTCATCCCCCACCGCCCTTCTGTCTTTCTTTTCACCAAGCCTCTGACCGTCAGCTACTGAGATTTTCTGCTATGTTTACTACACGGCTCCCCCGGGTCCTTGGTGGCTCCACCGTAAACCTGAACTCCATTCTCAGTCCAGGGGGCCACGCTGCCCTGGGTTACTCCTCCACAGCGAGCCAAGCTGGCCACCTGGTTGGCAGACAGGACCCGGTCCCACAGACCCACCTGGGACAACTCTCCAACCAGAGCCTGGGATGAATCAAACCCTCCACCTAGGGAATCCTGGAGAGAGAAGAGTGCTGTCAGATGAACTGCAGATAGGATGCTTTAAGAGGGAGCACAGTGACTGAAGAGGGGTGATTCAAAAACATTTTTCCCTA